TTGATAAATGTTACATCTGTCAGTTGATCACAATGAGTAGAGGCAATATGTTGTATGTTCGACAAGCACAGCCGCCCGCCGGTAGCGAGGCCCTCGGCCTCGGTTTTCTGGCGAAGATCGGAAAGAAGATCGCGGGTATCTTCAAGCACAAAAAGAAAACCAAAAGCGTAGCCAAGAACGTAGCCAAGAACCAGACCAAACGTGGGTTGGATGACTTCTATAAGCGTTCGGAGGCGCCTTCGTTCAAATTGGATTATGACCACATCGACCACTCGGGGGAAAATCTCAGGCGAGAGCTTACCGAGATGTTCGAGCGGGCAGTCTTTCGTAGGTGTGTGCTACACGTATTACCCTAAGGGAATCGGAAGTCCTGATATTAGCCGTTCAGAGCGCTCATGGCCCTTGACGAGCTTGACTAGGTGTGTGGACCCGGCTGGTAGGGTATACCTTTGTTAGCGGTTTGAATGTCAGTGATGACCACGAAGTACGATTACAGACCTCGTGAATTGAATGGGCTCCGTGCGGTGCTAAAATGGCTTTGGAGAGCTGAGCTCATAGATTAGAGGCTGAACCAGCATTCATGGCGTCCGGTACGTATCCTATATGTAGCGGCTCGTGACGTGACCTGAGGGGACGATGCACTCACCCATGGCAATCTTGGCCATGATGGCTACTGCAGCCTACAAACGGCCCAGAGAAATTATAAATAGGATAATCAACCAGTGGCCAATACCTGTGTGTTATCATTGCTTCATGGACAAAAATGTTCCGATAGTAAAAAAACAATTACCGCTGTCAACACATGCGAACAAGTACAAAAGTTCTCCCGAACTTGGAGCTAATACCAAAAGCCAGAATGGTTTTACCAGACCTACCGCGAGCCGTAACATAGTTCGCGCCTCCACCTCCACTACCCCTCGCCTTGGCCTTGGCAAGAAATGTCGACGGACTCCTCATCAACATGTTGGTTAGTCGCTCGTATCTTGCACCTTCCGTCGCGTCCTTCGTTGGATCAAACCCGACTTGCTCTTCAACTTTGTAGGGAACTGGCTGGGTTTTTCGCGAGGCCGAGATTGGGCGACGACAGTGTCTACCTCGTCAGAAGGCAAAGCCGAGGGTACGAGTGTTGGGGACACCCTAGCAGCACGAATGTCGGTTGTGACAGTGGCCACCACGTTCGTGGCCGTGCGTCTGCGTTTCGGAAGACGTTTCGCAGGTGACATACTAGTTGGCCTCGGAGTAACAGGCCCGGCAGGCGTATTTTCTTCCAGTGCTGTTACGTTGTTATTGTCAATGTGAACCAAACTAATGACTAACCTTACGATGGAAACTACGTACCTGCTTGGTCCTCCTGTGATCTTGCCCTTTCCTGAGCTCTCTCTAAAAATTTAGGCGTGATACCCTCATCGTCGACTTGTCCTTCCGAGTCCTCTCCTTCATTGACGTCGCCTAAACCATCAGCAACTCGTCCCTTACCCCTAATGAACGGCTTCGGCGGCTTCTCCGGACGCAGGTTCTCTTGTATAACATCTTCAAGCTCGTAAATTCTATACAATTGAAATACAGCCTGCTCTTTATCCTTGGCCTAGACACGCTCCTGGGTATCAGCCTTGAGCCTTGGATAACCGCAATGAAATACCTCAATCATGAGATCCACATCTCCTCCCACGAGGACATCCGGCAGCTCTTTGCATCGGTTTGCGTGGGCCCGCTTCTCCATCACTGTTTCTGCACCGGGGCGTGGCTCGCTCAGATGCTGCTTCTGTCGAATGCCTTTGCTTGTCCAAGTCCGCGCGACAAGGGGGAGGAGTTCCTGAAGCGAATGCTTACTCGGCTGTAAGGTGAGCATGTATGGCTCATTTTAAGGGAGAAAATGAGGCTTGAAATAAGCTCACGTTAATCCAATTGTGATGATAATCAAGCTAGGGGGAAAAAATGAACTCATAAGCCCGAGAAGAGGTGCGCGGACATACCACCATTGGAATCTGGAGTTCGTCGCAGATAGGCAAAAGATCATCGGCACTATAGCATATCTGCAACATACAACATACACCTGAGATATTCCACAACATGGCGCATTTAATGGCTGCGACACACCTCGTCATTCTCCAAAACGACTCTCGCCTTCATCTCGTCCGTCAACCGCATACGATAATTTTCACGAAAGCGTTGCAAAGTGGTCTCCTTATCACCATAGACTCCCTGTCACGAAAGTCCTCTTAGTCATATGTGAGTCGATAAATCAAAGGCCCCCACCCCCATGTGAATGATTATCACACTATCTTTGTCCAGTCCCATATATCGCAGCATCTGACAGTGATCTAAAGACAAAATTGTTCAATTGTTCAATGAAAGAAGTAGCAAGAGGCTCACAGTCAAGTTCACGCAGACTCGCTTCAAGCACGTCGGCTTTCGGAGAAGCGAGCTGCGTGAATTGTCCTGGATGAGTTGTCAACCGATGTCTGTATTTCTTCGCTAGCGCGCCGGCAGCCTGCGTACGGCGTGTTTCGCACACATTTATGCGTCCAATTGAGGAGGCGCGACAGCATATACGTAGATTACAGAATACATGAATTCTAGGTAATGGCAAAGTGAGATACTACGCACCTGGAGCTCTACTCGTGCATATGCAAGGTCATATCCGTATAATTTGTGTGATGCGAAGGGGAACATTTCTGACGACACACGAAAAAATCGAATTCTGTTCACCTCGTTCCACTACGGTGGACATCAGTTAGTACATGCACGAAAACCAAATCGCATGTGGAGGCATGACAGCACGAGCGAGGTCAGAAATATACTGAAAACGCGTACTGACCTCGATGATCTCGCAAAGATCGCGCGCATTCTTGAGTCCAAGGTCCATAGCGAACTCAATTCCATTCTTGCGGATCGTCTCCAGGCGGCAGGTGCGAGAACAGAACACTGACTCAGGTTTACGTGCACGCAGCAGCGTGTTGAGGCATGCGTAGCCAAGACGACCTACGCGTATAGTCAATAAAACTGAATATATCCGGCTGTCCGTCTGTTCGCACCGGTGAAGGCAGTCTCCTTCCTTTCTACTTCCGGTATGTCATAGACAACCGGTTCCAGTTCTTTCTTTCGCCTCTGACGTTTCTTCACAGGTTTTGGTTCGTCGTCGCTCTCTAGCTGAGTAAGAGGGCTGTCTTCACCATTGTCGACGAGAGCTTTGGCCTCTTCTACTTCCTCTTGTGCTTGCGTATATCGCTCAGGAACCACCCTCTTTCTTGTCGAAATCCTGCGTTTTTCTGACTGAGAAGTTTTCTCACTGTCTACCACCATAATGCTATTAGAGTCGGAGAGATGAACTGGTTTCTTGGATTCAGAGCGCGTTTGTCTGGGAGATGTACCCTTCCTCGCTTGTGCAAGTGTCGCAGGATCAGACAACGCAGTAGTGGTGACCACAGAGACATCCCTCTCCATCGAACTGCCGTCAGTAGGGGGTAGTTCACTAATATCCACTATAGGAGACGCCGTGGGCGCGACGACGGAAACGCACTTTCGTTTTGGGGGCATAGGTCGCCTTGGCGGAGCGGCGAAGGAGAGTCTGTGGTAGACGAGTGATAAACGAGAAAGGGGACGCACGAACATGCACGTCGGGTTGCAAAGAGCCACCCTGATTTATGAGGGGCGGCAGCCCCACGTTCCGCCTTAGGACGAGCCTATAAGGGAACACCGATCGACGCCCTCCGACGTGCGCCGGCAGCGGGCAATCGCGTTATCCTTTCCCCCGTCCGTGGTTGAGACAGTGCAGACTTGAGGAGCATTGAACAATGCAGCACGCTATGAAAAGGTGCACTGGGTGGTGACATAGTAATTCATAGTCGAAGAGGGTGGGAGAGCCAAGTCCTTTCAGCTCAGGAATTTTGAATGTGGCGATGTCTTGTCAGATCTCCAAAGTTTCGTAGAGTACGTAGGTCATAGCTATGAGTTCTAGGGAAGCTTGAAAGCAGGTTTATATCCCAGCGAGGTCGCAACTGTCTATGACAGCTGGGTTCGGACACTCCAGACGCACGAGGTTACGGTTAGCGATCGAGATTTATGTATCTATCACGTGGCAGCCCTCGCCACTTTTCAATTCCATCCAGCTTTGAGTCTTTTCGATTGTCTGGTCTCCCGCGGATCTCCCAGTGCGCTCGTGCAGTATTCCCGGCTAGCTTGCTGTTCGGCTTTCGTCTCCTTTGGTCTTAACTTGCTGGAGCTCAATAATCATTGACTCATATTGAGTGTTAGGTGATATATCCATGTGTATTTCCCTGAGCAGCCTCTCACTCTACTTTCATTCCATCTATCTTCACTAGTTTGTCTACTCTGTCAATTTACTGTGACAGTGGCCGAAGGCGCATACCAAAATATGAATCCACCACTCTCTCCACAAGCGCGCCGCCTGCGAACGATCATCGTGACAGTGCCTATCATGGGTGCGACAGCCCGTACGTACCCATTTCTATCACTATCGTCACATGCTTAACCCGTTGCCCAAATCCGCATTTCTCGTACTTTCATTTATCATCTACCAGTCGTTCTTTACAAGCGTCTTGTCCTCGGCGAGCCCCGACGCATACTGCCTACACCGCCGTTGTCATTACCCCCATCTACGCAGACCTCCCAAACTAATCCATCTACGAAGCACCCTCTTGTGCCTATCCTCCCGCAACCGCATGAGGGCGCTGCAGTCGGGAGTAGCGGTCTGTCGGGCGCTGCATAGTGTTACCATGAGACCTTACAATGGCGAACCGAGTCGACATCGGGACTACCGATTAAAACGGGAACATGCCCTGCACGCCAAGCAACTGTTCTAGATCCTTGTTTCACCGGAACTGTATGCCCATACCTCTCTCCGCATTGACCGTCGTAGGGACGTCAGATGTAGATGACGCGCGATGGTGCACCGCTGTGGTTTAGTCATGACCACATTCACATGTACGAATGGTGTAGAGTTGAGTGCGTCGCATTGATATGTTTTCTCGTATCGACTTATACAGCATTCAATAACCGGGCTATCTCAGAAGTGGTAAAGATTTTGTTCGAATCCATAGTATTGCTGAAATCTCAACGACGGGAGACTGCCACTTGCTCATTCTCGCCTGATTCAAGAAAATGGAATTCATTCAGACGCCAACCACCCATATGTATGACTCGAAAACGTAATGCTCCGGTCCATCACTGAGTTGTATGCTGAGAGAATCATGTCGGGTCTTCTGCAATTTGCAACCAACACCCGAATCACTAATTGGCATGCCCTTATGGTATGATCACGATCATGATTGAATCCGTTCTGTGATATATAAGACAACACTTCCTTTGGCCCTCATGCATTCACCTTCGCGTCGTTGGCATGTCCAGTTCCATGATTGATCTGGAAAGTTTCGTCGGTGCAACATTCATTGGAATGTTCCTCTTATTTTTGTACGTGAAATTCTCAACATTCACAGCTCATATGGCAGCTCATCGTGACCACAACAAGTTTCTATGGCGTAACAATTGGACAGACGGCGTACTACTTCGGAAATTACAGCGATCGCTCTCTATTGAGATATCTGGTAGAGTCGTGTTGTGGAAAAATCAGATTTCATCTCATAAACATCTGTTTAGGTCACTCTTTTGTTGTTCGTCCGGTGGTCTTCATGTTAACTGATCTAAGGACTAATTTTGAAGATTAGCATCCTTGACACGTCAAAAGCACTCCTCAGTATACAGGTTTGCTCAGGGGGTGAACCACGGGTCTACGTACTAATTAATGACTCTCAGGTGTCCTGGTACTATCTTGTCAAGAATCGTGACAACGATACTGGTTACTCTACGGTCACCGTGTAAGTAGTACACAAATTTCTGCGCGCAGGAGTGGTCTTATATATATGTCCCAATTGTTTCTCTAGAACCTACGGGGTATGTTCTCATTATCTCCGCCCTATTAGATGCTGGAGGATCCTATTTTGATTCCAAATAGGCACAGAATATCATCGCGGTGCGTTCTGGTTCTAATGGAGGTTCTCTCTTTAACATGGCAAAGTAGTGGGCAACAGTGCTGGTTTCACAAGTGTAGGCATTTCTTTTGATGGCTATTTTGACTTGCTCATGGTTGGACCAGGTTCTATCTTTTTTATATCTGCACTCGTACGTATATGCACCTATCCTTCTGCACAACCCAGCTAATCCAGCTATTGAAGTGCTTCAAGCTCAGCAGAAATGGTATCGGTTACATGTGACATTGATAGGCTGTTTGCTCTCGTTGGCATCATTCGGTACGTATTTCTGGCCTATATTTTGCAAGGTGAGCCTAATGGAAACATAAGCAAGTGACATGGGTATGTTATAGTCCAATCATATATTTGACAGTCCTCACAGAAAATATGGTGGAATAGGCGTAACATACGACTTGTAAGTGAGCGCTGCAGATTCCAAAGTATACCGACACCAAAGAAAAGCAGATATACAGAATCAACCGAAGATAGTGCAATTCAAGAGGTCGAGGTATGCGTTGTGCACAAGCAAAAATACATATGACGTATCTTTAGATAGGCCCCAGGAATTTCTCAGGCGGTTATCACATTGGTAGCAGACTTGTATATCACCGGTGTCCTTTCTTGGACATTGCATCGTTTGAAGACCGGGTTGAAGTCGTAAGTGCTTCGAACTCTTGAGCTTCTGCCCAGGCCGACTATCAACGATATTGAAGAACGAGGAGTCGTTTTTTGAGATTGATGGTTTATTGTGTCAATCGAGGAGTGATAATTTTGTGCGTAAAGACTATTTGAGTGTGAATTGGACTCATCTGAGATCTCAGGATTCTGCAAGTCGTTATACTCATCACGGGGAGTTTGTCAATCCAGTCTTCATAGGAGCATTATTTGACATAATGTGGTACTATCAGTTCCTAAACGGCGTTCAAGTTCATGGTAATTCCAACAGCCACTCCAAGGGGGCAATCATCGTGGGCATCTTCAATCTACCCCAAAGCACAAGTGAGGACCGAATTTTGTTGTAACTCATGAGATGATGGCTAAAAAGGATCAGTATATTGTAACAGTGTCCTCGCAATGTGCGCTGTCTGTTGCGATTCGCGATCATTCCGTTCCTACTAACAAATCTAAGGCTCAATGTTCGTCGTCATTTAGCCGCCAATGGTTCAGTTTGCCTCAACAGCGATAATGTCTCACTCGAAGATCGGCATCCGCAACCGCGATATCTTCCTACATTCGTACGCGTTGTAAAATCAAAGATTTGTTTGCCGTTCGTTGCGCATTCTGGTCAGACTCAACCTACTGATGTCATACAACTTGCTCCGCTTGCTCCGCTTGGCCCTATTGGTGCTGACGTACAGCAACGAGAACAAGTTTAATCCCTACAGAAAGCAACACGAGAAAGGGAGCATCTCAGATTGGACTGAATGATGATATAGGGGACGAGGGCGGCTGCTATTTAAATATTACCATGTCAGGCATAGATGGGCCATGGGTGTTGGTCACTGCATCCTGAACAATATTCGTGTTGCGAACTTACTGTTTTTCAACTAGTCTCAAGCCAGAGTCGGAGTCCAGACGTACCAAAAAAAGATACGGCTTGTCAGTACCTCTAGTGCAATGTCGAATCAGCTAATTCAACACCTGGTCTATCGCATCTGCATTCGAATCTGATTAACGATCCAGCTCTAAGCGTGTGGAAGTATTTATCTGTGATGTTTTGATATATCTTGTCTGCTGAGAGCAGTGAGTCTGGCGGTCTGTGCATGATCCAAAGCTGGTAGTTATGACCACAGGCCCAGGTGAGACTAGATTCCAGGTTAAAATATCCGGCGGGTGCATTGTGCTGTGGCTGGTAGCAGGCGTGAGCGCCTGATTAGGCAAGAGGTGTATTGCCAGGGTGACCGGCCTGCGCAAGGCGTCGCGACCATCTCTATCTGCCATGTCCCAGCCTGTTCAGTCCAACTTTCCTCCGTCTCTTTCCTCTCCGTGCAGGCGCATCGCCGCCAGCCCCTTCCTTCGCAGCCAGTCTGTGGTCCATTCCTTTCCAGAACCGCTCACTCATTCCCTTCGCTTTCTTCTGCGGTCGCTGGTTACTTTCGTCATCTGAGATGCTACAGTGTCTGTTCTCCATAGGCTGAGAATCACCCGTCCCGCTCGATGCGCGCTATTTGTCTTTCCCTAGCTCCTATTCTGCGCTGCCAATCCCTCAGCGAGCTTGAGTCTGGCGTTCTCATACTGCCTACGGGCATCGAAGTCATTTTCTGTCTGAGTCTCGTGCTGATGCGAGGCTGTGATAGGTGAGTGCACTCGTACTGTGACCAGGTCCGATCAGTGAAGGGAAATGGGTCTCTGGAGGCAACCCACTAGTCGTCCAGATCGAACTAGGGTTAGCATACATCCAAGTACTTCGCGTGGTATAGAACCGATGGCTTGAGTTCGAGATAGTAATGGGCACCCTCGGTCGCATGTATTGTTTCGATGCTGGGCTTCTCCGAAATTGACAGCTTATTTGTATCATTCACTTAGCCATGTTCTAACTGGGTTCTGTTGACAGAAAACAGATCATACTTGTTGGAGAAGGCTTCGCCTACTTTTCTCTCGCTCTCCTCGACCTTCTGGTGCATGTTATTCCAGATGTCGGACGTTCTCTTGGTGTATTCAAGCCGCTCGACATCATCACAGGTAGTCTCTTCTAATCCAATTGTTATTCGCATGCTAACCTGCGCATAGGTTCCGCGTCGTTTATCCCGCTGTTTCTCTACACACTTTTCGTCTTTCTGTTCACGGTGGCAGAGTTTATACCCTCCCTCCCTCCGCGCCTTCAGTCGCCTACCAAGTACACGCTCGCATGCTTTATACCACTTATTGTTATCTCCAACGAGTTTGGATCTTTTATCACCATCTCATATCGTAAGTGTCAGCCCATATGATGGCCACTCTTTGTACTAACGATATTTAGGCACTTTTGGGAGGGAGTTGGCTGTCGGCTTCACCAACGAGAATGTGCACGACGGGTTGGACGTGCTTACACTCGCCCTCTTAGCAGCATTTCAAATACTCGTGCTTGGCATCGCATCCCGTCGACTACTGAAAGCGCTTCGGTACAGACGAGAGCTTGACCAAACCAATCGGAACTCCGGGTCTAGTGAAGTGAAAGCCCATCTACTTCGTGGACTTGGCTGGCTTGTCGCGGGTATCATGATTGGAGCAGTGGAAACGTTGGTGGGTTTTGCGGGCGGCGGTTTCGCCTTTGCAATTGCTCGACGCATTCTCCGCTTATTCGGGAGAGCATGCCTTATTATTGGTGTCATCAATGGGTACGTCTGATCTTGCTCTCCTTTGGCCGGGTCTGACTTCATACTGGCAGAGTCGACACAGTAGAGGACTTCCGAATTTTTAAGACCGAGGCCGTCCAACAACGCCGCAAATCTAAACTTCTCGCGCTCATATCCAACCCCCGGAACAGCACTTTTAGACAGCTAGGGGGCTATCGCTTAGATCCCGAGGCTGGGCCGTCTGCCGCTGCGCAGTCACGATACTCTACATTGACTACCAACGGTATGGTCGAAATCATGACAGTCTCTACTAGAGAGCTGAGCAATCAGTCATCGCGTTCGTCCGCAAAAGCAGCAGAAAACATTGGATCTTCGGTCTCATCTGCGGAAAGTATGGATTCTTCGGCAGAAAGTGCGAGTCTCATGTTCACCCCATCTCGCAATATATCCACACGCCCCGGGACGCCTCCTCTTCTCTCCACAATGAGGCAACTGCCGCCAATTCACCGCCCAGAGCGAGTGACTGTCAATTATGCTCGCGGCCAGGCACCCATTCTTGAGTTACGTCGTTTCTCCGATTTGCTGGACATAAGATACATCCTCACCCTTACGCAACTCGATCCGTACACGGATCCACATGGCCTCCGGTCCAAGTCCCTCCCCAGTTTCTCCATGCTACAGGCATGGAATGCGTCCCGTCGCTCTTCCGGAATACTTCCCCTGGCTACTCGCATGCCTTTTGGTCAAGCGCAGGAGACGGAAACACCGCCGCCCAGTGCGACGGGATCTTACATTTCCATACCCGCGTCTGCAATCATCTCCCCAATCGTGCGTGCTGACCGCGCATACGCACGACACACGTTCGCGGGTCGCAACTTCTACTCTCGCGCGTACGCTGAAGGACGACCTATGTCTCCCGCCGATTCACTAGAAGCTTTGCACACGCTCACTGCACAGTTCCCTGGCACCCCCGACACGCCGAGCTGGAAACACTTGCCTCATTCTAACGAGGTTTCTGCGCGTCCTTCATTCGAAGGCAAAAGGATTACAGCTAGAAATGCGCATGCCAAACAGGACAGCGATGCGACAAGGACTTTGGTGTCGCCCGATATGACTGCAGAGGCCTTTTCGGAGGATCAAAGTCATACTCTCTGCGGCCACATGATTGATGGCATGTGTCATGACGGTGAAGCGACGTTAGTGGGCCACCAGTCTGCACAAGTTCTGGAAGAAGCGTCCGCCGCCGCCGCCTTGCCCACGCCTGTCTCTATCATCATTCCTCTCCCCCCAGTACCTACCGACGACGAGCAGAAGAGCGTGAGGGCAAGGAAGGTGCGGACGCTGGAAGTGCACCCCAGGAAGTACCTCGCAGACGAATGCGTAACTGCCCGGTCCGTTGATTTTGCAGACATTCGGAGCGCGTCGCCCACCAAGCTGCGGACACCACGCATTGTGAGCGTTGGGAGTGCGCCGCGAAGACATACCCCAACTCCGAGGAGCAGCGCCTATGCGCGAGAAAGCATGGCTGTAGAGTTCGACGAAGCCCCAAGCCCCCGGCGGCGACGCCGGTTGAGCAGGATGTTGCAAAAGTCGGGCCCTCAGAAGAGGAGAAAGAGTGATGTATCTGTACGCGCTGTGCCTGTCGGTGAGCGGAGTGTGTTTGACGATTGACTGTAAGATGTTAGATTATGATGTATCTCTGGAGTCATCTTTTTCGGGGACATTTCACCCTTCACCCAGCCTGATCTGGGAAACAGGCTGTATTTTTCTGGGGCTCGGACCTATCTTCATGACTTACACTAGATTCTCTCTCTTCGGCCACTTCGGTGTGCAAGTATGGACAGGAACACTTGATCCGTACCACAATCACAGAACTGCCAGTTGGTTTCCTCGGAAGATGTGATGTATCACTATTGATGAGTGGCAATATGGGACGATTCCGCAACTGAGCTCAAGCCTTCCGTTCAATTGCAAGAACATGTGGTATCTGATGGCGAGGGGGTCCGTCACGGTGCACGACGTCCATTGCCGTACCCTGGATCTGTCGGACTGAGGCTCGAACTCTCGCCTGCCTCGATAAGGTTCGAGCCTCAATGCGTATGTCCGTGGGCCACCGTACTGGTGGTGCAAGTCACTAGCATTGGCTTCCATGAAAGCGACCAAATCGTACCACTCCACTTCCCTGTGCTCGCCACACTAGAACATGAGAACATGAGATGGCAAGCCTCAGATATTTCAGCTTCAATGCATCTCTTGCTGCAGACATGGCTGGGAATGTGACTTGGGCCTAGGTGACTCTGAGCTGGCCAGATTAATCATGCTGTGACCGCACTGCTGCAACAATTCTTTAGCACGCGGGCTCAGCCTTCTCTTCACTTCTAGCTGACCGGCCCGTCGGCAAAGCAGATCTGGGTATCAAATTCATGCTGAGGCCCTGAGCGCGATCTAGTCGATCTGCTGGGAATGGCAACGTATGTCTCGTCTTCTGGATGACGGTATGTGGTCCGCGAGCACACGACCCAAGTCACAATGATAGCGTCGTATCTTAAATTCAGTCACATATCCGCGTTGTGCGTTTCGCACTGTGGAAAATACAGTAAGAATACATGATAGTGGTCTTCTCGTAAACTTGTTTCTCCTTGCATCTTTACGACATTCTTCGGATACATGCAGGCTCACCAGTTAGAGGGCTATATCCTCTTCCGAGTCTGGGCAGAACGTGATTGTGTAGTCCGCAGCTTGGCTAGAATCGCACGTCCAGAGCGCAGTGCCACTGCTCTCGTCATATGCATAACAGTATGAGTTTGGACAGTTGCTCTCTGTGAAATTGTCGTACACCACTATCTGTCAGTAAGAAAAAAACGGAATACGGGGCGAAGGACGCACTAAAGTAGGAGTAGTACTCCACGCCAGACGACGGACATGTCGCAGCCGTGTCATAATCGCCTGTACAACAGTTGGGGGAGTTTGCTGTGGGAAGGAGAAATTAGGGCAGTAAGCATGTATCCCGCATGTCGCTGTCGCTGTCGTCTGTGACTACTGATGAAGTGTCACGTACTCGGGTCACCATCCAGATTTGCCTCGCATGCAGACTTGCAGCCCACCGGGAAACCACTGGAATCGTACGGGCCGATCAACGCAGCCGGACCTAGTCAGATCACAGGAGATAGGATAAGATGGGATGCGTAACGTGAGAAGGCTAGTGATAGAGAATTCAGAATGGAGCGCATACAGTCAGGGCCCAGATCGACAGGGCAGTCCGCGATGCCGCAGCCGACATTGTTCGTGATACTCATGGGTAAATTGTATCCGTCAACGAGGGAGACTACCTTCCGTGTCAGCACACAAGTAATAGGAAACATGTCCATTGTCCCATGTTGTAGTGCTCACCGTCAAAATAATCGGGGTCGCCATTCTGCCCGAGCGTGAACTCTGCGAGTGTTGCGGGGGGAATACCCTGGGCACAGCATACCTATTAGCACAACTACTACACAATAGGACAAAGGTGCAACTCACCGTTCCGCCATCGGTATCGCACTCGAGTCCACCGTTACACCCGCCATCTGCGCATTGTGTTGCAGGGTTTGTATCGGAAAAGTCACAGTCGCGCCGGCCCTGCAGAGCACGTCATGTCGAATCATAGAAACAAGCATTTGGCAGGATAGAATAGACTCACCCAGATACGGCCTGCGGTCCAGTCATCCGGGACGGAGAACGTAACGTGAGTGTATGCGGCGGCCTCCCAACTGGACAATAAAAGCGGCGCTGTCAGCACCATGGATGAGCGCCAAGGTACGAGAATCAAACACCAACCCTGTTGCATAATCCGGCATCGATGTCCCTGAACCGGTAAAAATCTGTCGTATGTGATGCCGTCAGTGGGATCCTTCGCGGAACACCTACCAAAAACTTACAGCAGGCCTGTGTGGTCACAGTGTAGAGCACAAAGTCAGTGCGCGGTAGAATGAAAGCGCAACAGAGGCAACATACCAGATAGTGAACGGACAGCCGTTGTAGACGACGAATGTACGGTCGGCAGCAACGCGAGCTGTGAGAGCGAGCGAAATGGCGGCGAAAAGATAATTCATGGCGTGCACACTGAAACTGGGGGAGAAGGGCACTGCAGGTCCTTGATCCTCAGTGCTCTGCACGAGCGATTTTTATACTGTAAAATTAGCAGCTACTCGAATTTGCAAGAGCAGGACGAGAGGCCTCCGGCAACGCGCCGTGCGATAGAATGGATGGTGTCGCATGATTGAGTCAGCCGCGCGCAAGGGACGGCGTATGTGGTCGACGCGTATAGACTCGTACGGGACCGCTGTCGAGAAGTGTTGTGGGATACCCATGTGATAGGGGCGGGGATCGTGCGATCAACTCTGAGGCGCAGGAAAATGTATCAGGGCGGTTCTTACCGCGCTGCATATATGCTTCGAGAGCATCAATCAAGATGGCTGATGATACCATAACTCGGCGCGCTCACCAGATCGGACGATGTGCGGTATGTTTCTGCTGGGACTGGTCCTTTCAAGAAATGGTCGTGACGCTGAGGCCGCGTGGCATGTACTGAATTGCGTCCACAGTCCGAACCCAGTGATAAGTCAAAGTGGTTAGACCATGAGAACGGGTGTGAGTGGACGAAAGGCACCAGTGCCCTGGTCCGCTCAGCAGCGCTGCCCGACCTCCACTGACATGTCTAGGCGTCATGGTGAGCGGCCCACGCTGGCACCGGACCAGTCGAAAGGTACAAAATTGAGACGTAGCCTACGGTCAAATCCAGCAGAACATATCGTCATTGAATCCGTGGAGAGATTATTCACCATGTTGCTGCACATGATTGGGCGGAGAGACTACAGCAGGAGGGAGCATCCATCATGACCAGCACGAACCGCTGGTCGTGCTGAACTCAAAGCGCAAGGGGTGGATCAGCAGTGCAGATGTACAGTCCGGAACCAGAATTCGCCAGCACCTCGTGATGAGGACGACCATATGCCTCGTCAGTCCAGAAGGATACGAGATGTTAAGAGAGAGAGGTAAGATATGTTTTGTCTCACCAGTTGAAGGCTGTGAGAGTGCGATGTCCCTCTAAGCGATGCAGCATGTTGGCCGATAAATCGAGAGCCGTTGTACGAACGACCGTTGCACTCAAAGTAAAAAATGCAGAGGTAAATTCGGATATCTCCTTTGGATCTGGTGATTTGGGTTGATCCGCCCCGATGAGTCTAGTTCAGCCTTGGCGACTACCACCATGGGCGGTCCGCTCGCTGCGCTCGTAGTCCTGGTTAATCGTTAGATACGGGAACCTCCTCGCCACTGTATGTACTGATACGACGCACGACATCGCGAACAGACACCCCGGTTTTGAAAAGGTTACTCCTCGGGAAAACCTCCGTGCATGTGTTCAGAGTGTGATACGTCTTTCTCGCAGATGCGACCCATCATCTGTCCCAACATTGACAGAACCATATGGATCAGAACTCACTTACTACTCGACCACCTATTGAGTTGACTGGCTGGCTAGACTCTTTATATCCATTCATCGTTCGATATCATGGAAGGTGACCGCAGCATGCATCAAGTTATGATCTTGCCACTGGTACTTCGAGCTATTCCAAGGCCAGGAGGCCCATTGATTGAAGGGTAATCCTACAGCTTACCCCCATGCATTGCATATAGAATCAGTTTACACGAAAGATAGACGGTTGCAAGTGTAAGTACAGCCGCGTGGCTGGCGTCTAAAATCATACTAGGCAGGACTGGACGATTGCCGGGCCGGCACGTCTGACGCAATAAACGGATGAAGTAATCCTTCCGTATATATCATAGACATTGTGTACTAGAACAATCATCCATCCGTTCACGCTCTTCGCTCTCAACCATCACCACTTTCAACACCGAATCTGGTTCAAAATATATACACATATCTTATATTATGTGGCCACGTACAGGGCGGATAAAAAGCTTCCCTGTGGCCTGCAGTGGCCCCCGTTCTGAGCAACCTGGAAGGCTAGAACCGCTAAGAGTGGTACCTGCACGAATCTGCATTATGCCTGCACAGAAATCCTTCTTGCACTTTGCTGATGCTGGTGGTACAAGTCGTGAACACTGGCTTCCGAGAAAGCGACCAAATCGTACCACTCCGCTTCCCTGTGCTCGCCACACTAGAGCATGCATTTCAGATATTTCAGCTTCAGTGCTCTTGCTTTAGGCACGTCTGGGAACGTGACTCTGGCATACTAGGGTGACCCTGAGCCGGCCAGATTAATCATGCTGTGACCGCACTGCTGTAGCCATTCTAGCTAAGCCTTCTCTTTACTTCTACCCGACTGGCCCGACGACAAAGCAGAGCTGGGGATTGAACTCGTGCTGAGGCTCTGAGCGCGATCTGGCCGACCTGCTGGGAATAGTGACGCACGTCTCGTCTTCTGGACGGTGTGTGGTCCGCTACACACGACCCAAATCACAATGACAGTGTTGTATGTTAAACCCAGTCTCATATCCACGTTATGCGTCATCCACCGTGGAAATTAGAGTAAGAATACATGACAGTGGTCTTTCTTACAGTAACTTGTTTCTCCTTGCATCTTTACAACATTCTCCAGATATATGCAAGCTCACGAATTAGAGGGCTATATCCTCTTCCGAGTCTGGGCAGAACGTGATCGTGTAGTCCGCGGCAAGGCTAGCATCGCACGTCCAGAGCGCAGTGCCACTGCTCTCATCAAACGCATAACAGTATGAGTTCGGACAGTTGCTCTCTGTGAGATTGTCATACGCCACTATCTGTCAGTAACGATAAGACGAAATGCGGGACGGAATACGCACTGAAATAAGTGTAGTACTCCACGCCAGACGACGGACACGTCGTGGAGGAGTCATATTCGCCTGTGCAACAGTTGGGAGAATTTGCTGCGGGAAGGAGAGATCAAGATAGTAAGCATGTATTCCATATGTCGCTGTCGCCGTCGCCTGTGACTACTGATGAAAGGTCACGCACTCGGGTCACCATCTAAGTTCGCCTCGCATGCAGACTTGCAGCCCACTGGAAAACCGCTAGAATCGTACGGGCCGATCAACGCAGCCGGACCTAGTCAGATCACAGAAAATAAGACGAATAAAGTGTGGAACGTGAGAAGGGTAGTGATAGACAATATAGAATGGAGCACATACAGTCAGGACCCAGATCGACAGGGCAGTCCGCGATGCCGCAGCCGACATTGTTCGTGATACTCATGGGTAAATTGTATCCATCGACGAGAGAGACTAAATCTCGTGTCAGCACACAGGTAATATGGTCGCATTTTGCAGTGCTCACCGTCATAATAGTCGGGATTGCCATTCTGTCCGAGCGTGAACTCTGCGAGTGTTGCGGGGGGAATACCCTGGGCACAGTATATCTATCAACACAACTACTACACACAGGACAAGTGAGTAACTCACCGTTCCGCCATCGGCATCGCATTCGAGTCCGCCGTTGCAACCGCCATCTGCGCATTGTGTTGCAGGGTTTGTGTCGGAAAAATCGCAGTCGCGTCGACCCTGCCGTGCACGTCATGTCGAATCATAGAAACAAGCGTTGGGCAGGATAGAATAGACTCACCCAGATACGGCCTGCGGTCCAGTCGTCCGGGACGGAGAACGTAACGTGAGTGTACGCGTCGGCCTCCCACCTGGGCAATACAAACGGCACAGTCAGCACCATGGATGAGCACCGAGGTACGAGGATCAGACACCCACCCTGTAGCATAGTCCGGCACCGATGTCCCTGAACCGGTGAAAATCTGTCATATGTGATGCCGTCAGTAAAGCCTTTCCCACAATGTCCGCCAGAGACTCACAGCAGGCCTATTTAGTTGTCGTGTAGAGCACACAGTCAGTGTGCGGTAGAATGAAGGCGCAACAGAGGCAACATACCAGACGGTGAACGGACAGCCGTTGTAGACAACGAATGTACGGTCCGCAGCAATGCGAGTAGCGAGGGCGAGTGAGAGGGCGACGAAAAAACCATTCATGGCTGTACACTGAAACTGGGGGAAAAGGGCACTGCAGGTCCTTGACCCTCAGTACTGTGCGCGAGCGATTTTTATACTGTAAAATTAGCAGCTACTCGAATTTGCAAGAGCAGGACGAGAGGCCTCCGGCCGCGCGCGCCGTACGATAGAATGGATAGTGTCGCATGATAGACTCAGCCGCGCGCGACGGACGGCGTATGTGGTTGACGCGTATGGACTCGTACGGGAACGCTGTCGAGGAGTGCTGTGGAATACCCATGTGATAGGAGCGGGGATCGTGCGATCAACTCTGAGGCACAAGAAAATGTATCAGGGCGGTTCTTACGGCGCTGCATATACGATTCAAGAGTACGCACCGAGATCAATCAAGATAGGTGATGATACCAGAACATAGCGCGCTCCCTGTGCGGTATGTTTCCGCCGCTGGGGCCGGTCCGTTCAATCCATGGTCGTGACGTTGAGGCCGCGCGGCGTGTACTGAATTGCGTCAAGATTCCGAGGCCAATGATGAATCAAATTGGTTAGACCATAGAGAATGGGTGCGAGTGGGGCGAAAGGCACCAGTGCCCTGGTCCGCTCGGCAACACAGCCCGACCTCAACGGACATGTCTAGGCGTTATGTTGAGCGGCCCGCGCCAGCACCGGATCAGTCGAAAGGTGCAAAGCTTGAAGCGTAGCCTACGGTCAAATCTAGCAGAATATATCGCCATCGAGTCCTTCGAGAATACTCACCATGCCGCTGCACATGATGGGGCGGAGAAACTACAGCAGCAGGAGGGGGCATCCGTCATGACCATCACAGGCCACCGGTCATACTTAGCTCATAATACAAGGTGTGAATCAGCAGTGCAGATGTACAGTCCGGAACCAGTATTTGCCAGCATCTCGTGATGAGGATAACCGTATGTCTTGCAAGTCTAGAAGGATACGAGATGTTAGGAGGGAGAGGTATGATATCTTTTGTCTCACTAGTTGAGAGCTGTGAGAGGGCAGTATCCCTCTTCACGATGCAGCATGTTGGCCGAGAAATCGAGGGCCGTTAGACTAGCAACTTCCGTTTCGCCCGAAGTCAAAATGCAGAGGTAAACTCGGATATCTCCTTAGGATCTGGTGATTGGGCTGATCCGCTGCCCCGATGAGTCTAGTTCAGCCTCAGCGACTACCACCGTGGACGGTCCGCTCGCTGAGCTCGTCGTCCTGGTCAACCGTTGGAGACGGGAACATTCTAGCCACTGTATGGACTAGCACAATGCATGATACTGCGCAGTGTTGCGAACAGACACCCCGGTTTTGAAAAGGTTACTCCTCGGGAAAACCTCCGTGCATGTGTTCAGGGAGTGATACGCCCTTCTTGCAGGTGCGACCCACCATCTGTCCCAACATTGACAGAATAATGTGGATCAGAACCTACCGCTAGTAACGACTCGGCCATCCATTGATTCGCTGGCTAGCTAGACTGTTAATATCTATTCATCGTCTGATAGATATCATGGAGCATCAAGTCACGGCCTTGCCAATACTAGTAGTATTTCGGGCTATTCAAAGGTCAGAAGGCCCATTCAGTGAAGGGCGACCTCGTCTCGGATCCCAAAGCTTACCCCCGTGTATTGCATATGGACTCAGTTTGCACAAAAGACAGGTAGTTACTAGCGTGAAAGCTGCGCGACTGGCGTTAAAAATCATACTAGACGAGCGGCCGGGCCGGCACGTCTGATGCAGTAACGCCTTCTATCGACTCAATATATCTCCTCCTTGAATCATTCTATAGCATTTATCCCTGGATCCAAACTGGACACTTGCACAATCCAAACTCGTTACTATTTTCACGGCCGTTACATCTCTAAAAGTACAACAAGAAGAAAAAGAAACAGCATCCTGTGCCAACGAAGGTCAAATGGTATAAGTTAGGATAAAATCTGATCAACTGAGGTCCAAAACGGGGTAACGAGATGCTGTCAACGAGTGGAAATGGGGTGCATAAGATAGCATAGGGGGCATAGGCGACTATGAGAGGTTGCATAGAGGATAGACGTCTCGGCATCTCATGTGAGATGGTGCGCGAGCTGTCTCGTATCAGGTGCCAAAACCCAAAGCGTCACAAACGTGCCCAGGAAGAACCCAGTCAGCAGCGTCGATGCCGAACGCACGAATGTCTGCATTGGCGACTCGCGGGGCGCCTTTGGCGATGATTCAGGCTCCTCGACTGCCTCAGCCTTCTCTAGATCCGGCTCCGGGGCGCGCGCGACGGGGCTAAGAAGAGTGGCTGCAGGGTCCAGCGGCTCAGCAAGCACCGGCGCCGCACAGGGTGACTTTGGTTCGACGGGAGATGTGCACGCGCTTGGGACCGCTTTGCGCATACGCGCGCGCACCTGATATGTCTGCGCGAGCTGCTCGAGGCCCGCGACGATGTCCTGCATGCGTGCGGCGTCCGCAAGCGCCTGCACCCTCCGCGCCTCGCGCACCTCCTCGCCGACGACGTGTACCGCCGCACGCACGATGCTCTCGATCTCAGGGTGCTCGCGCACCCACCACGGTCCCGCCCAGCGCGCGATGACAAGTGCGAGCTCGACTGTCGTGCTGGACGCTGCGGGGAAGTCTCCGAGCGCCCGTGCATGGAACCATGGCCGCAGGTGGCATAGTGCGAGCCGCACGGCGCCAGCGGTGGTGTCTCGCAAGCGACGTTCTGGTGGCATCCGCAGGAATCGCGCAGAAACATCCTGGCAGAACTCGCGGAAACTTGGCTTCCGTCGGCTGTAGTCCCAGGCGAGCCCGAGCTGGCTGGTTTGAGCATTCTTGGTGTCGGGTGATAGAGGGGTATCGGGGGAAAGGAAGAAGGAGGGGAGCTTCGTGAGAACTTGCGAGAGCGGGATGGATGCGAAGACGGCGTTGCCCGGGATATAGCCCCATACGAGAACGTCCTGCGCCTCAAGGGCGAAACGATACCACTTCCAGTGGTCCTGATGACGGCTAGAGCGGATGCGTTGAGAAAATACCACAGAATCGACACTTGATGCGACTCACTCTTTGGGATCGGCTTTCCTGAGCAGCTCGACGGCAGTCACGGCCCGAGACGACACGGCCTTTGCATCGATCACAGCGATCTCGACAGAGTGCTTTACGCCATGGTGGTAACGTCTCGTTGCCTCCCATATTGCCCATGCAAAGCTGAACGACGTCGATACGTATGGAGAGGACGAGCGTGTCGTCCAATCAAGGTGATGCGCAGCGTCCGCGTACGTGGGCGAGGGTGGGCTCCGAAAAGGCGATGTCGACGGATCCTGCGAGTTGAAACCCGCATCGGAGAACTTCTCCTCGAAGCGGGGACCGACGAAATAGGGCTCGGAGCGATCGTAGAAGGGATTGGGCTCCTTCGGCGTATACACACGAAAGAGAAATGGGTTGCTCTCTACGAGCTTCTCGAATTCGACATCGGGGCCAAAGCCGTACTGGGGGAGTGCAGTGCGATCGTGAATGGAGACGTCGGAGGGCGGGCATGGAGACATTGGGAGGCCCATGGTGGAAGTGATGAAGTTGTGAGGGCGGGGAGAGACGTTGACCAGCAGCGATAATGGTGAAACGAGAGATACGAGGACAGTGAGAAGCAGTCATATATGAGCCCGCCAAGCTGTGCGCAAGACACGCATCTTCAATATGTCCCGGACCTCGACGCTCACATGCGGAGGCAACGAGGCGAGCGAGCTAGGGTTCCGGTCTTGAAGGTGTGCGACTTGGGTCTATTCAGACATTGTGTGCAATGGTTTGTGAATTAATTCTGGAGACCCGGGACATGCGGAGTCGAGGTTGGTCTTGAAGACCTGAAATGCATCGCTGTCTGTCTTGCGGATGGTGGTTGCAGTTCACTGACAATGTCGACGGCGCGGCCCGCTCGCCCGCTGGGATGATCTAGAGCTCGGCCCGATATCTAAGCGAGATGAGGCGAGCATGCGTCGGCGTTTGTTCAAGTTGGCGACTTGGACTCGACCTGCATGTACATATGCCTCGCTGGGTTTCGATACGCTCGATCGCATGTGCGATTCATGAAGGATGAAAGTGGGTTCGACGACCCTTTGGAGGTGGCGACTCGCCTTGAAGTAAGCCGCACGCATCTCCTCTCTAAACTCGTCTGATTCTGCCAGCAAGCGTACATGACACCTCACCGTATATTCCGGCATCAGCACAGCAATAAGATAGACATGCCCCGTCTCTATCCGCGTGTCTTCGACGCCTGCCTTTCATCTCGGTCTCTCCTTGTAGCGTTGCGTCAGCCGACATGTGAGCAAGATGCATCATCTTGCTAGCTGATTAAACGGGGCCCGCCCCACGCGTCTCCCATAATTACATACGTCACTTCATGGAATGAATGGAATGCGTGGCTAGCGGACAGACTCACCGCTCGGTTTGAAGATGCCTGAGCCTTGCACTTTCAGCCTAGAGCTGGCGAGAGCTCCGTGCAAGGTTTATTTTTGATGTTGTGGGATTCACGCTGAGCTGGGGAGTGCCGGAGTAAGCACTTTGTACACCCATCTCATTTATTTTTGACTGACGCACGGTGGCCATCAGCATACCTAGGTCCTAGGTCTTCGCCAGGCATTCTGCGGCCACGACGGATGTTTCGTGCATTTTTTAAGCATGGCTGGGGTGTAACCGATTATATGCTCAAATGATTATCGCAACACGAATCATCGTCATGAGGCAGAAATACTAACTGGCTTTGCCATCGATTCACGTTTGACTCCATGAAAAGATAAGATCGTGTAAGCGTCTTGGGCTGATAAAGCTTAGTGCGACCCAGTAGCAGGAGGTTCGAGCTTGATTACTCATGGAAATGTCCTCATTCAGGTTACCTCGAGAAGGGAGCATAAGTAATAGGTGAGTAATGAATACAAAGTCCTGTACGAGTGTTACCATATTTATCACTATTTGCTTTAGCCTCTTAGATTCATACAGTAAGCTAACTGTAGTCGACCGAGTGATTGCAATTGCTACTAGTCGTGTTCAACCGAAGAAGACAGCTTCAGCCAGGTGTGTTCTATCTCACTTGTTGGCACAATCATCGATGACCCCACGCTAGGGATTTCGCCGTGGACCCCAGCGATGTATCCCAGTGACCACATCTTATCTTTTGCGAAAGCACGCCATGGATTAGTTTGCTCCCTCAGATGCCTGAGGTGTGCATTCGTGTTCTGCTACCCGCTCTAAGTCCGTGCGCGCTCTTCTCTTCTTGTTGATACTACTAGTGATCGGAGTTTGAGAATGGGTCAGCGTAGCTTTTCCAAGGTGTGTTGTTCGTCATTTGGCTCCCCATCTATCTCATACCTGAAACACAGTCATCAAGCAAGACCTGCGGATTCTCCACAATACTGCGTAGATTGCGTTGCCCTGCGGCGATTGTGGTGTCGATGTATGCGGCTGCGCACAACTGAGATTTCCAATCCTTTCGCTAGTGCGAGTGATGAGAATGTTCCAGGAGACCCGCATGTACAGTGAAGGATAGATTATCATTCAGCGAAGACCGTGTGTGTTGGGAAGAAAGCTATTCTAATGTAACTGCATACCCCCGGTCCTATATTCTAGCCGAACTGGCGCTGACAGAAGTGTTGAATTTTCACAGTTAGTCCGATCCAGAGTATCCACGTTGGCACCGGAAGCCAGCTGAGGCCGTGGCCGAATCAGGCTTGAGATCAGTCAACCCCCCACCCCCGGACGCTCGGTGTCGGTGTTGTTAATTAACGGTGACGCTTGGGCGCACCCGAACAAGTCGGGCGGAGGTGCCAAGGCTTGGCGCAGTCGGCGATTCTGTGCGCTCCTTTTGAATTTAGGTGAGGATCTCCAAGGCTTTGCGAGCCCCACACCTCCACAGAAGGCTTGGCGACACCTGTTCGCGTCTTTCGCCGTGGTGCTCGCTCGAGCCTTCGCGCACACCGCTTATCCGAATTACGCGTGCCCAGTGATCTGACATGATGCTGACATACACACAGGCTTCGACCAAGCTGGCAATTGCCATGCAGCAAACGTGCCGGCGTTTTGTGAACGCCTCCGCCTCGCACTGACGAATGGACGTTGTTCGCTCCATCAGATACCTTGTGTATCTCCGCGGCTAGATGCGATAGAAACGCGATCGCCACTCATTGTCTTGCTTACGAGCCCTTCACCACCATTCAAAGTGGGCGTCTTGTCCACGCCTTATCCTCTTAGTACCCAAGTACGCAAAAATAGAGCTCAGCCTACTGATTTGGAATGTTTGGTGTTCTCCGGTACCGGGCTCTATGGTCGTGGCGTTAATGCGGTGAATGGTGAGTACTACAACCTATTCCTACTCATGACATCGACTGGCCTTGGGATGAGCAGGAAATACAGCGAGACCGTCGTGTCTGCACCAACGCCGGCGTCGAGAGGCTCGGGGGCGGGACTGCCCGACTCGGATGTACGTATTCAAATAGCCTTCGGTAATGCGTATGCATCTCGAAACATCGATTGATCGCGATTCGTCGTAACGCCGCATCATCTCCGACTGCTTAGGGCGCTTGAAGCATACAGGACATGAATTGCACACAGCACGAATGATACGTCGGATGTTTGGCGCAGGCAGGGCAAGGGTGACGAGGTATAATAGCTGGGGTTTGTTCCTCATCCCTTGTCCGACATCTGGCCACTCATACCACCCTCGACAGTCGCATACCCCCAGAACAGACATTGCTCCTCATGTCGCCCGTGCGCCGAGCCCTGACCCCTGCTTCCTGCGATGCCCTCCTGGCACGTCGCCCCTCAGCGTCCTCTCCCGCTACCGCTGCAGCCCGTCGACCCATGTCAGCGGCACCCGCGTTCGATCTCCACATAGAAGATGCGCACCCCACGCCCGACTTCCAGATTTTCGACATCTTCGACGCCCCAGCGCGTCTGGGCGAGTCGAGCAAACTCCTCATGCGGTCTGCCTCGGCGCGCACTCTCTCCAGTCGCCCAGCGCGGCCTGTCGACTCGACTTTCGTGCGCAAGAACACTGTCCAGCCGTTGCCGGCTCCCATCATATTCGACGGCCCCACTCGACCCCGGGCTGCAAGCACAACGCTTGGCGCGAGCCGCGCACGGAGCACAAGCGCAGCATCCGCTGCTAGCTCACTACCGTTCTCCCTGCCGGCGCCCAAGACATTCGACGGCCCATCGCGGCTGCGCCCATATCAGGCTCGGGATGACCCCAAGTCGTCGGCAGTGGTACGTACAGCCCCCATTTCTGACGAGATGTAGCTCATTTTGACACGAAGACCCCTTCGTTGTTGGTTCTGCTCGGGGTGTCTGGCTTTGTAGGGATTTTTGGCTGGGAAAAATTGACCGAAGTGTCTGCTGGTATGCAACATCGGCCCGACCACGAATTGTGCGTACAGTCTCACAGTGGCCTGCCCCTCGTGTTGACGGCGACTTGCAGTGTCTGAACGCTCCACAAGGGCGCGATTCACGTTCATATCCGTGTTCCTCGTAGGAGGAAGGCATGTCACGACCGATGTAACTTATGCTCTGCTTCGTTTTTCATGATGGGTAGATGTAGATTGGGGTTTAGATTGTATGTGGTAGACCTGGTGGTTGTATATGACCAACAAAACCTGTAGAAAGGAATCATTCATCGTATCAATAGATCCAGAATTCCTGGAAATTATCCTCCCATACGAGAGCGAGCAACTTAAACACTTTCCTCTTTCGGCCAAGCAATTTCCTTTCTTGATAGCAAGTGTGAGTTTGGCGCGCGCCACCTGTCCAGATGCAATGCGTGAGCTTGAACTCGAGCTTTGCTCAAGCATGGAACAACAACTGCGGCTGGAATACGGCGGTGGAATACAAAAAGTGAAGTGTACTACGTCTGTTCCGCAATGACAAGCTTTTTCCTCTCCGCCTTCGGCTTGTTCTCCCCGGCTCGCGAGTGTTTTCTCCTCCGCTCCTCCTTGACCCGCCGTGCTTCGAGCATTGTGCGCTTGAGCTGCCCAGCTTTGTGCACAGGCTTCGGTATGTGGCGACTCCTGTAGGCAAGTATCAACATCCTCGTAATCGGAAGAAATACGGAAAGCCCACCGTTGGACTTTGCCAACCTCAGCATCCATCTTCCATCGCTCCTTGAGGCTCTCGCGGTACTCTATCGCTGATCGTTCTCGCGCTGTGATGATTCCAAGCTTCTCTGACGCATGTGCCTTCCAGATACGCACGTTGCCATCGTCCGATCCTGACAGTACAAATCGCGCATCGGCCGTGTAAAGTGTAGACGTCACTCTAAATGGGCGTCAGGACAGAACGACACAACACAACGGCCCACTGCACCTCTGCATCCGCTTTGTGTGATACACCTCTGGTGCGGTACCCACACCTTCTTTCCATATTCGGACCGTCCGGTCCCAACCCCCACTGACTAGCTCGGTACCAGTTGGGCTCCAGTCGCAGCTCATCACGGCCGCAACGTGAGCTTTATAGATTTGGGTGGGTGTTCTCAAAGAGCGTATATCAAAGGTGTATAGGTTATGATCTTCAGAAGCGAGAAGAAGTACGGTAGGGAACGTCGGCGACCACGATAATGAATTACTGCTCATCTAAAAGCCGTCCTCAGCAGGTTGATACAACATCCTGGGGGTTATGACATACCTGCATGACGACTCTGCGTTCTGCTTTTCCGGTACGAATGTCGTACAGGGTGAATGTGCGGTCTGAACCGATACTAGCAAGAACAGACGACTCGGACAGATTGAAGCGTACGGCGGATATCGTCTCCGTGGACGTGGGGAACGTAAGATCTGATATCGCCGCCTTCCTGGAGTTTGTTGAGAGGATGAAATACACGCCTATGAAGTCCCGACTTACCTTGTTTCGTCCCAAATTTGGACCAGGTTGGAGGCGGTTGCAAACAGGGGGTCGGAGCGATGGTGGTCTACCGAGCTTTTTCATTTTGCTTGTCAGCCCAAAATGAAGAGGGAACGTAGTAGCAGACCTTACTTGAATGCTGCCTTGCCGGGGAAAATATTTAGAGGTTTCCGCTTCTACTGCCGGTCAGAAGGAGAGGCAAGGTTGTGTGTCATCGACTTACAACTGAAGGTCCTGCGCCATCGTCATCAACGTCGTCTGTTGACTGCTGAATATTCCAAAGTTTGACATTCCGGTCGACCCCGCAGCTCAGCAGTCTATCTTTGCCAGCAAAACATACTCCGGAGACTTTGCCTTTATGGGCTCCCTCCACATGCAAGACTCGAGTTCGCCGTGATATATCGTGCAAAATAAGCCCTAAGAATAGTTGGCGTCAGCATCTCTAAGGTCTCTGTGTTTATGACGATCCTGGAGGCGGAGGCACGCACACACCTCCGTCCCAGCTTCCGCTCGCAACCATGTCCAGACTTTCCGGCTTCCTCGCCATAGTTTCAACTGCATCGACATGGCCCTCTAGAGCGGCCACAAAGGGTTTGGCGAAGATGCGCTCCATCTTGGCGGCATTGAGAGCTCGCATACGCTCTCGCGCGCGGGAAAATGGGTGCAATAATGGGTCTAGGTTTCGGGATGTGGGGGTCGGGTCTCCAGGTCGACTTGGTAAATGTGCAGCTGGTGCATGTTGCAGCACGGAGATTTTCTGGGTCGCAATGCTTAGTTCAGCGCGCATCTGGACTTTTACGTTCACCGAGAACACATACCACCATTCTGATTCAAGTTTCTGAAAGCTGAGATTATGGCTAGCGTGCGTACGTCGTAAAATTGCCTCCAGAACCAGGGACGACCGAGCGAGCAATAGGCATTTGCAGAATGGCGGGCCGAGAAATTCGGGGGCACGGAAAATCAAGATCTGTGACGTGATTCTGTCACACTAGACGCGTCCTGTCACGCGCCCATTTCCGCGCAAAGTGGCGGACGACGACGAACATCATGGCTCCCAGGACGTCTGGCACAAAAATCATCATCAAACCTCGGCGTGCAAGAGCGGGCCCGTCGCGCATAGTAGAACCTCCCCCAGAAGAGGAAGAGGTTGTGATAACCGACGTGGAAGACCAGGACGAGGTAGAGGAATCCGCGGATGAAGCGAGCACCATTACGCAGACTCCTAGGCCGGAGGAAGAGGAAGGGACGGACGCTGGCTCACCTGAAAATGAAGATGCGGACAGTAACGACGGCGGAAGCGTGGAGGGTGACGAAGACGTCGAGGAGGGTGGAACACCTGCAAGGCGGGTAAGAGGTCGTGGGCGGGGGCGAGGGCGCGGGTCGGCCTCGGGGACGTCGACACCCAGAGGCAGAGGCAGAGGGCGAGGCAGGCCAAAAATGCGGGGACGAGGAACCATCACAATCAAGCTACCAAGACGAACAGGAGAGGAGGGCCCGCATGAAGAACTGGAGCCTGTTATCGAAGAGGCTCCGCCAGAAGCCTCAGAAGAAGGCCCGACTGGGGGCGGAAAGCCTTTCCGCCGAATACAGGGGAAAGTATATATCCTCGAGAATGACGAGTATGTTACGGATGACGACCCCAAGGGCGACGCCAAGATCGATTCTCAAGGTAACCTTCTTGGTGGTGCGTTCTCTTCGTCCTCGCATATTGAGTATCCATCATGCTCAGCATTCTCAAGGCCGCAAGTTTAAAGCGCAAACATTTGCGATACCCAACCGACATCCTGAGCGGAAATACATGCTGGCCATTGACGCAGCCCGCACGTCCGGCTTCCGCGATTCTTTGTACTACTTTCGGCGAAATCCCCTTGCAATGAAGCTCATTGCGACACAAGCGGAGAAAGAGTATCTTATCGAGGCCGGCAAACTAGGTTCGCACCTACGGACTCGTAGTGTCACACTCATTACGGCACGAAGTGCATACAAGCTGCACGGATCCAAAATGATACTTGGTGCGTTTTCAGATCATTGGCATGATATAACGTGTGACTGACAAATATTTTAGATGGAAAATGGGTTGTGGATGACTATTTTGAGGATAAGGCAACCGAGGAGGCCGCGTCAAAAGGGCTGAAACCTGGAGACCCTGTCGGTGAATTTCAAGAAACTAGTGCCCTTGCCGCTGAGGCCGCTGCACTAGGACCTGGTGCCAGTATGCAAGCAAACAAGGCAGACAGAGGAGGCAGTGGTCTGGGAATGTACCGCGCAGGAGGCCCAACAACCATTTTTGGTGGTTCAGGCTGGGGGCCGTACAGCGACGGACCACTGAATGCAGTACGCAAGTCGATGCTCAATCGCGATGGTCTGAACGAGGAGAACTGGATGCTCATTGCAGCCCAGCGGACCGTGGATGCAAGTGCCGAATGGGCGCAGCTGAGGGGCAAGGCATTGAAAGTGTGTGGCGGCATTCTTGATGATGCGAAGGCTGCCAGTGGTGTTGAGAGAGGCGAGACAGATGAAGCTCGGGGGACTAAACGATCAACGGAGGAAGGTGTTTTAGAGAAGGGCAAGCGACGTCGGACGTTGAACCATGGTGGCGAGCTTCCTCTCGGTATATATGAACCGCACTCCGGCATCGTCTTATGTGAGTTTACTCTCTTCTTCCGTAGTGCTAGCAACCTCCTGATAAGACGTGCACTGTAGATCGCTCTGACACGCAACCGACGCGTGCTCGATGGGAGACCGTGCCAGATGACCAAAATCGCAGACAAGTGATAGGAGGAGCCAAGGTTGGGGGTGGTGCATGGGCGTTGGCGTGGATCGATTCAGTGATGGAACTCTCTACGGAAGAGGACATTGACCCCCATGCAATGGCGCGAGCAACAACCCTGCAACAACTTGAGCTCGGGACTGGATCATAGTCCTGTTTAATGTGTGGGTTCGACCAGCTGCATCTTATACCTTGGCCGTTCTGTCATTATTATCCTTATTCGATTCAATCTCACGTATGTTACATAGCCTGTTTTAATGGTATGAATTTGTCAGGTGATGGCGTTACAACACGCCATAGCGGCGGCTGAGGCTAGTAAAAAGGAAAAAAATTAATGAGCAGTACATAAGCTTAAGTATAGTACATAACGAAATCCAGGATCGGCCCAGAGATGAGGAAATGTCGAACTACGGAAACGCTATCATAAGCTTCCGTCCACAGGAACGGCCTTGGGGGCGACAGCACTGTTCCCAAGCAGAGGCTCGGAAATGACGCTCTTGTGAAACTTGTGGGAGGGACTAGTAAGTAGAGGTAAGGGAGGCGATGTCCGTAGATGGTTTGCAGCGCTAGTTCCACCAGCAGCCTGCTGCTCCGCGCCAGAAATACCAGCCAATCGAGGCGGTGGCTGTTTCGAATTTGGGGAAGAGGGAGTACGTCCGAGAGTCTTTAAACCGGGGCTGCTACCTTTGGACGGACTGGGGGCGCGTGCTGGAGGCGAGTGGGCTGCAGATGTCAAAGGAGGTGGTGGGGGTAGTGATGGCAGATTAAGGATCTCTCTCCCGCGCCGTCCGTTAGGCCAAGCTTGGTTTATGGAACGGTCACGCCAAGCAGGATCGCCCATATCTTCTACCCCGTTTCCTCGCCCCGACCAATGACCTAGGGATCCAGGAGGAACAAATGTGGGCCTGGGAGACCCTGAGAACTTGGATTGCATTACTTGTGTTGGCATGGTCCCAATAGGTGTCATTGACCTCTCGTCTGGACCAAGAGGGAGAAGCTCGAGTGCTTGTCTCTCTCGTTGCGATAAATCGCCTGATGGCGGTAGCGGGGGCGGCTCGTCGTTTGTTTTCCAGAGGGCAGACATACGAGGAGAGCGATGGTTTGGCTGTCTTGAGGAAGAAGCCGAAAGTTCGATCGCTTCTCCCATCACACCTGAATGGGATTCGGAAAAACGAGGATCGTGTGAGTGGGTAAGCGCGCTTGAACCGCCCATACGGCTAGGCGGAAGAGTAGGTACAAGGGGACCTTGCCCACCGTTAGTCGCGCCATTAGGGTGATGGTGATGGTGAATATGGTGGTGATGGTGGTGGTGGTGGTGTGGCCCAAGATGACGATGCGGAACCTGCGCTTGCGCAGAGTGAATGGGAGGATGTGGATGTTGATGACCAGAATGGCGTTGCTGTGTGATTTGCATCTGATGCATCTTATCTAGCTCTCGATCGGCCTCGCGCTCCCTCTCTACCCTGTCCACCTCCATTTCGCCAGGATAGCGCTCACGTTCCTTCCCTCTCTCGCGCCCATCAGCAACACTGCTTGGTTTCCGAGGTTCCTTCGCACTACCGGGAAGTGAATTCGGACCGGGCTGGCCAACCCCAACCCAACCGTTAGGTTTCAACCCCCCGGGTAGCATAGGGCCATGTCCAACACTCATCGGCATATGTCCGGGACCATGGTGAAGCACTTGTACCTGAACTGGAGAAATCGAGCGCCGCATCAAGTTTCCGTGAGCAGACGTCGATCCTACGGAAGCGAATTGCTGCTGCACGTGGACTCCTACAAGCGCAGAACGCGAGTCTGGTCGATGAACTGGAGCCATATCTGGGTCCATTACGATCTGCGAAGGGTGTAGACTAGGCAAGCCGCCTGCAGGCGCAGAATGATGATGTGGTAGTCGTGGAGGCTGTCCCGGGAATCCCTGGACCAACGGATTAGGGACTTGCGGGTACCCATGCGGATGCTGATGCTGTATGGTAGAAGATGGAGGAGGACCAAACCGATTCCCAGTTCCAGGCCCATCAACCATGGGCAAGTTCATGGGGTAATCATATATGTGCGGTGGGGGAGGCCCACCGAGAGTGGAGGTGAGCATTGCTGACCGATGATCGAAGTTTGGTGCCATACGGCGATGCTGGTACAAGAAATCGAGATCATGCGCAATCTCAGCGGGGGCAAGGGTTGAGAGCTGAGGATATGCAAGGGCACTGGGGCTGGCTTGTCCCTTCCGCCGTGACGGTTGTGAGTATGAGGACGAGATACCGAAAGGATATGTTTTGACAATGTCACGCAAGGTCGGAGGTGGCTCAACAATTTGCGGGGCTGGTGGAATACGGCGTTCTGTCCTTCAGGTGAGATTCTGTTGCGGTAAACCCAGAAATACAGATACCGACCAGGTTGTGGGCGATCCAATGCACGCCGCTCTCTCTCCAGCTTCCGTTTCTTCCTATTAGTCTCCGAAACCATATTCGTTTGCAGCTCATCACGTTCGGACTAAGCACATAAGATGAGAACAAGAATGGAGTTAAGTAAAACCACACAGTTTACCTTCCACCAACTCCAAACACCGTCCTCGTCTAACTTGCGACGTTTGGTGACATTTGCGATCTCATAGTCGCGCCTGCGAGCTGCGAGCTGGAGCCGCTTATCGCGTCTCTTGGACAGTTCTGTGTGCAAATGCAGCAACTCCGGATGTGCGCCTAAATTTCATATTAGGCTGTCGTGATAAGATAAACATTAAATCATTGCCTGGGCGTACCATCGACCACCAATGCCTCTTCCCAAGCTAGATTTTCCATCTTCTCAACATATAAACGCTCTCTGAGTAACGCGAATTTGAGCTCGATTGTCGCAAGCACATCCAAAGCTTCAGCGCGGTGCGCCGGCTGCAAGTCTGATTCCAACTCCATCTCTGGAGAATCTGGTTCAACATCTTCTCCCTCTGCAGCGTCCACCTCGTCCGCGTCTTGTACAACTGTTTGGTCTGCATCCACATCCATTTCTGTTTCTTGGGCAGGTCCACCCCCGGTCTTAGGCTTTCTCGATCGGCCATTAGCCCTGCCCTTCCTGTTACGCCCGGAAGGTCGACTACTCGTGGGTTTGAGTGACGTCAGCTCAGGCTCTTCACGGTCAGACTGAGCATCTCCATCAGGCTCAGGAGACACAGAGCGGGAAGATGCAGGGGAGCCAGACGCAGATGATGATGACGGTGAAGGGGAGGGGGGTTCAACAACAGTCGAGCCAGCCATGATAGAAGAACTTGCGGCAATGGGGGCATTGGAGGGAACGAATGGGAGCGGCGGGG